CATGGAACAAACTCGAACGTCCACACGAGTTTATTTCACGGCATTTTCGGTGGATCGAGAACCCGCAAGGTCTGTACTGCGGTTTCGTGCAAACTCCGACCCTGCCATTATGGCCCAGAAGATTTTGCATGGACTTTGCGCGCACTTTCGAGCGTTCTAAAAGTCAGCTCTGGGCCTGAGAGCATAGGTATGCCCAAACCTGTAACCACTGCACATCAAAAAGCTGAGAAAACCATACCATGCGACCACTCGGGAACTTTAGCCAGCCTTCGCCACTCGACAGAGTCAGGTGCTTCTTTCAGCCCAATGTCGCGCTCACTCACGTTGGACGTCTTGTAAGCCTTTCACGTCAAGAGTAGACCATTGTCTTCTCTAAGCGGAAAAGCGGATCGTATGTCCTGCAAGCTGGAAAGACTGAATTGCTCTGGGACATGACAGCACATATTGCGTATGCTGTTGTCAACCACTAAGCGGGAGCTGTAGCCGGGTGCTTTGACGATGTTGATTCCCGACCGCCACCCGATCTTTTCATCGCTGAAAAGCGGTTTCGAGGTCTGGCTCAAGGTACCTCGCTTCAATTTCTTCCTCTACAAGCTGCTGTGGTGAAACGGGGTCCTCTTCTGCTGAAGCGTTCCTTGGGCGCCTGCCGGGCGAGCGGGTACACAGAGCGGGACGGCTTGTACCACCTCGGTTGACTCCCGCTGGTCACCGAAGCGGGTTTCCTAGTGAGGCGTGCTGACGTGCTGGGAAGCTGGGTGCTTGCCCCCACAAGCTGACCCGTCTGGCTTCGGCACTGCACAGTGAAGGTAGCGGCAAGTGGAAGGATCCTTGCACTGGCCTTGCTGATAGCGCATGCAAAGCGTGTGCTGCTTGCCCTCCATAAAGAGGGCAGGGAGCCACTTGCCGGGGCTGGAATTTGCCCTGGCGCCGCGTGCTGTCCTCTCAGGGGCCTCCTCAGTTTGCGACTGGTGAATGTTGACAAGTTCAGCGATAAGCTCCCACGCACGCTTGTCTGCTGCCTGTGCTTCGAGAGAAGGTGGGTCCACGCAGGTTGGAGGCTGATTCGTATTTAACGAAACAAAGCTTCAGGAACTTCTTCTGGTAAAGCTTGAGCGAGCCCAGATGAGCTCCCCGACACAGTGCTACTGTTGGTTGCCAGTCTGAGAAGCTGGTTAATCAAGTTGAACGAAGCTGGGCCGTCATGGATATCCCGAGACGGAGCTTCATCCAAAAGCAGGTCACTCAACTCTGTCAAGCGGGGGAGCTTTTTTGGACGAATGAGTAGATTATCGTCCTGGGCTTTAGCGCTCAAGCGGAACTTCCATGGTAGCCACCGTATTTCCTTGTCAGCAACCATTTTTGAGGTCAGGGCCAACAAGCGGGAGCTAGGGAAGCAGTCACTATCTAGAAGCTCGGGGTAGTCGTCTTCAAAGCGTTTACGAAGCTCAGCAGTGCGTTCAGCGCTAAGTTTAGCTGGCCATGCCTCCTGCCAAGTGGTGCCTGCGTTGGCGGCGCCGAGGCACTGGCAACTGGTACAGCAGGTTGGGCTGGGTTCCTTGATTCATCCAGCGGGGGCATGTCACAGCTTTCCCTACACTTGCTGAAAAGCAAGCAGCTCGAAGCCCTTGCCAGGATCTGGTCCCCCAAAGCTGAGGTGCCCGAGGCCTCCATGAGATGGATGATGAGTGCGGCCAGCTCGTCCTGGTTGTTGCATGACCTCGCGAAGAGGGGCGCATCATATAATGACAGGGCCTCGCGGATGTTGTCGGGGATGCTCGATTCCACCATAAGTGAAAAGAATTCTGCCGCCATGTTGACCTGGGCACGAGAAAGCATACGGAAGATGTTGAGACAGTGGGAGACAGGTGGGGCGCTGGGGCGCTGCGACTGGGGCGCTGGGGCGCTGAGGGGCTGGGGCGCTGGGACGCTGGGGCGCTGAAATGGTGCGGCGCTGGCGCGCGGCGGGGCTTGGGGGGGGTGGGGCCTGGGGGCTGGTGGGGCTGGAAGCTGGGCTGGGGGGGTGGAGGCTTGGGGCTGGGGCGCTGGGGTTGAGCTTGGGGCTGGGGCTGCGGCTGCGACTGGGGCTGGGGCTGGGGCTGGGACTGGAGCTGGGGCTGGGGTTGCTGGGCTGTCACTGACCCAAGCAAGGGAAAGAATGGCAAAGAGCAAAGACAAAGCAGGGGCTTCTCTGACTCCGGGGAAGCTGGCAAACATTGACAATGTCACCGCAGTCAAAGAGCGCTTTAACAAGGGTGTTTGCAAGAATCAGCAATGCAAATACCTGCACGCATGCGCCTCTCGCTAACAGCGAGTCCTGTGGGAGGGACTTACGTGAATGGCAGAGAATTAATCAAGCCACCCTAAACACCAAGTCAAG